TGGATACACACAGCATCCTGTGAGCAGTATGAACAGTGTGTATGAATATGCTATAAAGTATGAAAACGGTAAGCAGTGCAAGTATAGTATAAAATATATAGATATTAATTTCATGATGATAAACATTGTGGAACGATGATGAAAAATGTGAATGGAAGTGGCGACGTAAAACTGACACAAAACAACAACAAACTTTTGCCGAGCCAATTGGAGAGCTTCATCAGCAGCACGGGGTACAAACCACCAATGAGCGCTCAGCTCGAGATACCAGCGAGTCGTTTCCCATCAAGCATTTAGCTTCTGCAGCTCGTGGAGAGAAACTGGTCCACCTCGCTCTCAAGGCTGCCGGCATCTTTGTCCCGCGAGATTTCAACGTCTCATGTAGTCGAGCCTCCAGAGCAAGGGTGCGTTTCACTTCGGTTAAATGGATTCCTTGAGTCGTTTCCCTGCGACTGATCCCTCCCACCAGGGAAGCACGGAGAGACGCAAGGAAACCACGAGAAGCAGGGAAATGAGTTTTGAGGGACGTCGTTTCCTCCGGAGCGTGACGTGAAGCGACGTCCGTTTGTGATGACGCCGCACAGCTGATCGTCTGAAAGCAGCCAGATCAGTGCATGCGCTGCATCGTCCAATCAGTGAGCGATACACAGTAAGGGGGCGGGGCGAGTATCTGAGGATTTCCCCAGAGGATGGTCTGGTAGTTCCTCGGTTATCGATCCTTCGGCAAAAAATAAGGCCACTGCGACGCTCCTCAAGATGGCGCAGACAAATCAACTTCCGGTGATACTGAGACCGAGAAGCGAGGAAATGAAAAATAAGAGAAGTGAGACAAAGTCGGACAAAATGACTAACCATCATGCAACACACTAGCAAGACGGCGGTCGCAATTGCGCAGGTCTGCGTCGGTCTCGCTCATCTCAAACGAGCTAGCTTCACCTCTTTATGTCGTTTTATCAAAATAGGAGCAGAAGTTTGTATGTTAACAGAAATATAAACCAACAAACAGCAGTGAGAACAAAAGCCGACTGACTGCACTATGAAACTCTGCACAGTGCAGTAATCAAATCTATCAGATCTGCACAGTGAAAGGAAGTTAAAGTCCTGATTTGGTTTCAAATAGTTATGACATTAACAGAACAAAGTTATTTTTCCATCTTCTGAAACATCTTCTCACTTTGGAATATTTCAGTGTTTTGATCTGGAGATGGCCGAATGCATCCTAAAGCGTAATTATCCCATCATGCTCTGTCAGGCTGATGGAGTCTGACAAAAGTCTCATGAGCTCTGCAGGAACATCAGGGCCCTGCTTCAGTGTTAAAGAGTCAGATTTATAGAGAAGGGGAGTTTGAATTGAATCCCTGCGATGGAGGATGATGAGCTTCAGGTGGTGTTATTGTTTAAAGCTTCATATCTGCAGCACAAGAAATATCCTGAGCTCAGCTTTATTCTCTCTTCTCTTTTCTTTCAGGATTTCCGTGTGTGATGAGGACAAATTCAGACACAACGAGTTCATCGGGGAAACGAGAATCCCTCTCAAGAAGCTGAAGCCCAACCAAATCAAAAACTTCAACAACTGCCTGGAGAAACAGCTGCCGGTGGGTCTGACTGAAGTAGCTCTAAATGTGATTTCATGGTTAATAAGTGAGAAACTAGAGCGAAGACGATACATGTTAAAGCTTGGTTTTTTTAGATCATGTATGTCTCCAGGGTATGGCTGGGGTAGGGTACAGCCATACCAAGAAATGGCTTAGCCCCACCATGAAAAATGATGTTAAAGTAACCAAATTAAATTAAATAATAAGCAAAATGCTAAATGTTGAGAACACGGCTTGTGAAAATATACGGATGGTGTCCACAACACACAAACTGATCCTGCTGTAACAACAAGTGCACGTTACTGACGCAATATGGTTGAGACCATTCAGGCTTATGCTAGAAGAGGGGTGCAAGGAATAGTCTAAGTAGTGGGGGAGTTGTATACACTAAAGGTGTGGAAATTCTCTGGCGTTATAATATCAGCGCGGCCGCGGTCAGATCAAAATGCCTCCGAATGCAATTTGAATAGACCTACAGCCAATCAGAGCAACGAAGCGTTGGGTCTGCGTCATGCATTACTGATGAGATCAGTCGGAACCGCCATTCAGTATCCCCATTGGATCTTCAACGTGTACTATTATACGTCACGTTCACAGGGATCCCTTTTTATTTACTAAAACACAAATGTGCCATTTTATTTCATACAGTTCCATTTAGATTGAGACTGAAATAATCTAAACCTCACGCGTGGCGTTTCACTGTCAAGGGGGGCGATATAGCGTGTATGTAATTACATTGCAAATACTGACTTGAGCCCCACCACTGTATGGGTTAGCCCTACCATAGGTTACCCAACACAAATACTCTGGCGCCGCCACTGTATGTCTAACTATATAAAAGATACCAATAGCAGTGAAACGACACAAATCTCGATACAGGATGCAATGCCACGACGAAAAACGTAAAGAAAATGCGATGTATTTCAACGTACACTTCTGTATTACCATTTTCATATAGCTATTTAAGTTAAAGGTGATCTATCATGCAAAAAGCACTTTTGTACGTCTTTTATACATGTGTCCCCGGTGTTCCAGGGAACTCACCAGAAAACACAACCCTCTCTATTTTCCTCCATACCCAAATCTCTTAAAAAGGGGCTGCAACGGATCTGATACAGACTGATCCAGATTTGAACACTTCTATGACGTCACAGAAGTGGCGCTACGGCTATTGGGCCAACTCCACCAATCAGGAGGAGACAGCCACGGACATTGCCGTTGGAAAGCGCTGGAGACGCTGTAGTACATATGCCAGGCCTGTAGATGGCGCTGTTCTCACAGAATCGGCCCATGCAAAGACAGTGTTAAATTGGGCGAAATGAGGAATGGCTAAAATGCATGATCTGTTTGGTATTTTTGAAAAATTAAAAAGTGAAAAATATAGCCTTATATAGGTATGCTCCTATATTATTCAAATATAGCAATGCGAATAGGTCCACTAAGAGTTTACCACTTACAAAGAATGAAAAGCAGTCTATAATTTTTTAATGGTAAAGGTTTTTTTATTTTGAATAAATGAAGAAAAGAGGCAGAATTATTAAAAAAATATCCCAAGACATCATTTAAGAGATATAAATGGAAAAATTTCTATTTAATTTGTGTTTGAAATAAGTATTTGATCCCTTGCAACCAACAAAGGATCTGGCTCCGCACAGACGCAAATATTACAAATAATTCCGCATTCCTTTAGGAAAGTACTCTAACATCCAACTAGTTACGCCTGTTATAAAAAACACCTGGGTCAGCAGAAATCAATCATTCAGATTTCCAAGCCTCTCACCATGGGCCCAGAACTAAAAGAGCTGTCTAAAGGACCTCAGGGACGCAGACTNCGGACATTGCCGTTGGAAAGCGCTGGAGACGCTATAGTACATATGCCAGGCCTGTAGATGGTGCTGTTCTCACAGAATCAGCCCATGATGCAAAGACAGTGTTAAATTGAGCGAAATGAGGAATGGCTAAAATGCATGATCTGTTTGGTATTTAGAAAAATAAAAAGTATAAATATGCCTTATATAGGTATGGTCCTACACCATATTATTCAAATATAGCATGATAGGTCCACTTTAAGCAGGTCATAATTCTTCTACAATATATATTATATGCTGCTGTGAAAACTATATTTATTCCAGTTTTACAGGAATATGTTCATTTTTCTTGTGAAAGGGAAAAATGTCTATTCCCGTTTCTGTAACTCTAACGTGATTTCTTTAAATGTGATTTCATGTCAATGGAAAACCCAAAAAATATTCATTTTAATATGATTTAAAACAGCCAAAAACAGCATTACTCAAAATAATCACCTTTCAGAGACTGAAAACAGCTTTTCAATTTAAATAACAGTTCCTTGAAAAATGTATAAATATAAAAATAGTTGGTGAATTTTTTCAGTCACTTATCATTGCGGCAGCGAAAAACCTGATTTCATTTGGGTAGAAATTTTTTTTTATAGTTTTTTTATATGAAACATCACCTCTCTACATCGTTATGGCATAAGTCAGAATCTCTGTAAGGTGATGACGTTGGAGTAAAAATTAATGATGTACAATAGACACGGTCAGATCTGATATCTGACTCACATGTATTTTTATATCCTGAACCACAAGCAGCACTTCCTCTCATAATGTTTCCCGCTGAATCTATACCTTCCCCGTGACTAAATGTGAACATGATTCAGAGAATTGAATGTGAGAACTGCTTGAAGCCACAGCAGAGAGTAGATGGACTCACTCCATACGTGCTCTTATTGTCTTTTATTGCATTTCCTTCCAGTAACGTCACCGTGGGGGAGCTTTTAATAAATCTATTTTGACCATCACAACATGCAGAGGCTTTCAAAGAAGCAGATGTTTGTGTCTCTGTTGGGTTATTGACTATTTTTGGAAAAAGCTGCATATGTGTCTTACTCTGACTGGCAGAGTTTAGAGACTTTTCACATAAAAATCCTTCAAAGTGAAGATGGATGCAGCGAGAAGGAGCTCAGAGAAAGAAGCTTTCTGCTCCACTTCCTCTTGAAGTATAACAGATAAGGAGTTTGGACTGCACATAAAATACTGTAGAGAAAAAGGCACCGAATGGTTTGTCGTAATATCCAGCAGTGTGTCTTTTAAGGTGGGTTTGGACTGTCAGGCTCATAAATAACAGTTAGGCTGTCGACTGGTGAAATGGACCTGTCAAAAGTTAATTATAAAACGGACAAGTCAAATCAAGCAATCTGATTGGTTCTTAGCTGTGATATAATGAGCGTATACCACGGGTAGAATTGTAGTTACTTTTCACAACAAGTCAGTATCCCTCAGCGTCTGAGAAAAGCTACAACCGTTACAACTGTTACATTGCGTCCGTTACGAAACTAACTAACTAACAAAGCTTAAGATGGAATAATGTGCAGCAAGGACTTATTGACCGTTGTTAAAGGACGCTCACATCTGCAGAAAGAAGTCCGGTTGATTTAACTGTATACAGTTGTGCTGAAAAGCAAACTGCATGCAGTATAATAGGGGATATATTTTGGTTTTAGCCAGAAAAACATACATTTTGTAACTATTTAATGACGTTATGCAAACCAAATGAAGATAAATAGTTGTATCTATGTTAATAACAAACCTTATTGACAACCAATCATAGTACGTTTCTGGATTTAAAAAGGGAGGAAATGTATTTTATTGAGCTTTCAAAAAGATGGTGGATGTCAACCAGTGTTCGAATTACCCATTTGCTTTCGGGGGAGCCCTATTTTTCAGTGCACATCCTGCTACTTAGACCCTCCAGAAAAACGCGGGCAAAAATCCTTGATTATGCGATTAAACATGCGCGGTTTTTATGTGATTTTATGCGGTGAAATTGCGGGAAGTTGCGAAATATGCGGTGAAATTGCGGAAAGTTGCGAAATATGCTAAATATGCGGGGAAAAATAATAACAATTTTTTTAAATATTGGGCTGTCTTATTTATTCTCTCTCACACACAACATGCCACTGACGTTAAACCCCTTTACTATTCAATTAGACACATTCAATGTTTATTTATTGTAAAAGCAATTGGGCTATTTTTATTTCACACCCCCCCC